GGTGACCAGGAGCTCCCAACCCGCCCAGCACAACACTCGGTTGCGTTGATCCCACCTTACCTGTGCACCTGCTTTCCTGTGCCTTAAACCTTCTACTTCTTTGGGGAAAACATCCGAGCTGCAGGGAGGGGATGGGCAGAGCTGAGGAGGGGRAGAGGCTCTGGCTGACGATCAGCTGGGGGAGCTGGCAAAGCGGATAAAGGAAATTTTGGGCTGTGACTCGGGGCAGTTTTCCGCTGCCCCGTGCCCTGTGCCGCTTCCCAGTCTGCTCGTGGGTCATTGCCACCTACAGACTCAGGTGGGAGTTAACCTGAGAGCCTTTGTAACTGAGCAAAGGTCTGYGTGGGGGAGCGTTCCCAAGGCCAAATCACATTCCAGTGTCAGGAGAGAGCCCGCAGGCTCTGCCCTCACAGAGCACTGGTGAGAGACAAAAGAGCCGCTGCGGGACACTTGTGAAGATGAATCAGAGTTTGTCGACATTGTGTGTGTATATACCTAAATGCTTGGCTAGGATTTGGAGAATCCTTGGATACCCCACAATTAGAAAGGTGCCTGCAGAGAGGTACCTTTTGTGCCCCTAATTGGCACAATTAGCAAGGTGCCTGCCAGAGGTACCTTGGTGCCCCTAATTGGAGATTAACGAGGCTGCTGTAGCTCCGCCATCGTTCTTAGAGCATGTCTTCAGCATTTGAGCTTTTGTTTGAATCCTTGTATTATACTTTGATGCCGTTGCTGTCCTCTGTGCCTAGCAATATTTCCAGTTGACCAAATATTCTAATCTCTTTATATGCAAAAGAAATAGTTTAAGTACCTTTTATAGAATGATAAGATGGTATAAACGTAATCTAAATTTACTCCTTTGTGGTATTACCCGTGTATACTGTACTTTATTTTCTTTGTTTTGTAATTGAAGCTGTAGGGCAGGAGTAGTTTCCAGGCTGAGGTCGTGGCTGAGGATGAGCAGAGCCAAGGGTRTGAGAGAATGAGCACAAACCGCTCGGGAATGGAAGGAAAAGGACCCAGGCTAAAGATATTTTTTACCTTTTGAACCTATAAGCCCAGATGTTGTTCTAGGAAGGGAATTTATTAAAAGTAGAATGCAGCAGATCGGTTTTTCCCAATGATACAACCATTTTTTTTTTTCTGGCTTACAACTCTTTCCCGGGCCATTCTGCCTTCTATTCCGTGTGATCCGATGTTGCCTTACATTTCCCTCTAACCTGCAACCTGTTCGGATGCAAAATAACAAGAATCTTGTACTTTTTTTCAGGGTTTTTCTGCAAGTTGTGGACCAAAGTTTGTTTTTTAATTGTCTTAGTGTTGCAAGTTCTGATTTCCTTGCTTGGTGTGGGAGCTCTTGACTTGCCTAGCACTGAGTGTTTGGAAAAGTCTTAACTTTCCATAGTTCCTCCCTGGACTCTCAAGGATATGAATTATGCTGGAGAAGCATGTGAGGTCCGAGTGAGGGTCCGGCTGGAGCTGTGGTGTGCTGGGTACCCCCAAGGAGRGCAAGACCCCAGTGCCAGCATCACCCCAACTGCTTTTGGGTACCTCTAAATCTGGGTGAGCTGTGCTGGAGCCAGGGATCTGTCCCTACAAAGCTCTCTGGGGCCCTGCCAGCGTCCTACAGGAGGGCACAGCCAGGGCTCTCTGTGGCTGTTGGCTCGTCCCCTCCCCAATGAAACACCCTCTCCTCCCACAGGGGACCCAGCCCACCCAGCACAGCGGCACTGGGGTAGCTGTCAGTGCCCCCCATCACCCTCCCCAGCCCTGGGGAGGCTCCTGGGGCCGGGCCCCAGCCGGGACATTTTGGGTGTCCTGTGTAAATTGCAGATGGATTTGGGTAACCAGGCCCCTGGCACGGTGGGTGCTCCCTTCGGATCCTGTGTTTGCATGTAAAGAATGTGAGTAACTAAGGGTGTACATATTTATAATTTTTTTATACCTGTTGTAAGACATGAGGGGCAGCAAAACCCAGTTTTTTATGGTGACCAGATGTATTGTATATTTTGATAACAGCAATTCCAGGTTCAGTATTGTGGAAGGTGGGTGGGGAGGGGAAGCGTACACACCATCAGAATTCCATTGCCTCTTTCAAAGAATGTTTGTAATGCAAAAAGAAATGAAATTAAAACTATTTTATAACAACCTTTGTATCTTTCTGTAGCTCCATTATTTCCTGTTGAGATTGTAGAAGCAGTTGGTGCCCAGTCTGTACTTGTGCTTTCAATAAATTCTTCTGTATCCTTCACTCCTGATCTTCCTCCTCTTTATTGTGCCTGTTTTGCTTCTGATTTTTCCTTCTCATGTAATTCCAGCTGCCTCATTTTATATAACTTTGACTTTTCACACACTCTGGGCTGGCAGTGCGTGTCCCTRTTTCCGTGGAGCCATGGGATGGGGTCTGGCCCTCCCACCCTCCGTGCCAGGCTGGAGCCCTGAGGCCATCAGGCCATCACTGATGGATGCTCTGCCTGTGTCACACTCCAGCACTTTGTTACTTCAYGTTCCTAAACTTTCCATACGTTCTGGCTAATATCCATAAAAAAATAACCCACTTTGAGTCAAACCCTCCTCTCTCTAGTCCTGTGCTGTAGCTGTGGGGCTGGATGTGGCATTCTCCATCCYGTGGGAGGAGGTGCCATTCCTGTCTCTCCATGAACTCCCTCAGGAGCACAGAGCTTCTTTAGGGATCTGGTTCTTACCTGTACGCTCAGCTCTGCTCAAACTCTTGTCCAAAACTCACATGGCCTGGGGGGAGACACGATCCCCACCTGGAGCTGCTCTTGTGGCTCTGCTGGCCCCATCCCTCTGCGCTGAGCTGCCATTAGGCTCCAGCGTATTCCACAGGCGTTTGCACAGCCCTCTGCCTCCAGGGTTACCGAGGGGGTCCTGCCGCAGCCGGGGGCTGCTGAAAGGGACCACTGTTGTTCCTTGAAAGGCTAATGGGATTTGTAACAGCTGCCCCTCCGCCTCTCCCTGTGCCTGGGAAAGCTGGGCCGAGAGTGGGTGCTTTGCTGCCCCGCTGTAGTGAGCGGGATCAGCGCTCCGGGGTTGGTTGCCTGCGTTCTGCCCAGCCCAGGCTTTGCATCCATAGCGGGCATTCCTGTGCCCTTCCCTGGCCCCTCGGACACTGATCGGCTGCTGGCGCGGGCGAAGGATCGACCGGGGTGGCAGCGATGGCCGGTGTCCCCATGGGAACAGCGGCAGCTCCGGGGCGGGGGGGGACCGCGTCCTGCCCCGGCTGCGCTCTCCCATCGCACCCCTTCCCACGGCAGAGCCCCCCAGCCTRGCCCCCAGATACAGCCGGGGCTGCCCCTGCTCCTCCCGCAYCCCGGGCCGGCTGTGTCCGGCAGCRGAGAGAATTTCCCTAAATTAACGGGAAAGCGCCGACGCGGGGAAAGCCCCCGGTCTCCGCACCGAAGGGCTCTTCCAGCTCCCGCCYGGAGCCGGGGGAAGATGCTCCTGCGGAACGAACACCCTAAATCCCGGCATTCGCACACCCTCGGCACCGAAAGGGAATTAGCTGTGCCAGCGGGAACCCCAAAGCAGGAACCCCAAAATCGGGTAACCGTGGTTGGGGCAAAGCGAGCCCCGGGGCGGGGCCGGGAGCGCGACTGAGCCCTTTGTGTGTCACAAAGCCGGGCCCTGCCTCTGGGGCTCTCCCGGGGGACACGGGAATGTGCTGGGACTCCGGACAGAGGGTGTTCCCAGGAAAAGGTCGGGATACCGGACACGTGTGGTGCCGAGACAGAGTCCCGGCCGGAGTTGATGAGGTGGGGGCTGGCAGCCCCTCCTGCTGCAATCCTGTACGGGGCCGGGGGAAGGATGAGGAGGAGGAGGAGGAGGATGAGGATGCTCCCTCTCTATTCCGCGGGTCCCCGAGTGATGCAGCAGCGGCTGCCGGGGGCTGCCCGAGTGGGGATGTCGGGGGCTGCGGGAGCGGCTGCGGGAGCGGCTGCGGGAGCGGCTGCGGGAGCGGCTGCGGGGCTGGGGGGTTGCCCGAGACTGCGAGAGCGATGCGGGGCTGTCAGTTGCCATGGAAACCGCTGGGTCAGAGGCAGCGGGAAGCGGCGTGTGACGCCATCGGCACCGCAATGAGCCGTGAGCGCGGGGGCGACGCGGGGCTGCTGGGCTGGGAGCCCCCGCATCGCCCCGACCCCCACCAAGGACCGCCGGAGCGCGGCGTCGATCCCGGTGACCTTGGCCAGCGGCTCCGGGTCACCTCCCCGGGTCACCCGCGCCACGGCTGGATGGAGCAGYCCCACGGTTCTGGGTGGCGTCGGASCCCCTCATCTTCCTCCCCCCAGGGCCCCCCACAACCCCCCACACCACGAGCTGCTGCCACAATCCTCCCGCTAATCCCGGGTGGCTTTTCCAGCACCGAGTCAGGGTTATGTGGATAATCCATATGTTTGCAAGGCAAAGGCTTTGGGATATCCACTGTTAATCCAATTGGCAGTGGCAGTTTGGTGCCATCGGCACAGTGTCCTGTTGGGAGGGGACGCGGCTGCTCCAGCCACCGGGGGTTGGGAACTCCCGGGGGTCCCGGACCCATCCCGTCACTGCCGTGAGACCAGCTGCCCCCCACCCTGCCCAAGGAACCCAGACAGGGAACATCCACTCGTTTATTTGCTTTTCAAACCACAGCAGCTCCAGCTGTTGCCCGACATATTCGCAGCCTGGAGATCCCCTCCCTGCTCCCCCCAAACCTCGGCTGCAGCCCGGGGCTGCTCCTCCCGGGGCAGAGCTCAGCCCCCACCGCGCCCCCACCCCAAAGCCCCCCTCTCGTCCAGTCCCTGCAGTATTTACAGCCCTAGGCAGACCCCCCTCCCAATCCGTCCAACCTCAGGCTCCCTCACACAAACCAGCAGCGCAGGATGGGGGGTGTCACAGGACCCCCAGCACCCACAAACCCCCACAAGAGCTGCCCCACAGCAGCCTCTCCCCCCTGTTAAACCCCGCGATCCAATCCACCCCCCAAAAAGCCCTTCAGCACCATTTRTCCCTCCCCACCCCCCTACAGACATCCACTTCCAGCGCCGGAATAAAATCACCCTTCGGAAATGTCAGCACCAGTGTTAGAGAGGAAAAAAAAAAAAAAAGTCAAAAGTGCTTGGAGCTGCCCAGCCCCACAGCCTGTGAGGGGAGCAGAGCCCCACCAGCTGCCCAGGAGGGAGCAGGGTCCCACTCCGGGGGTCCCACAGAGGTCTCGGCTGGCTCAGGACCAGCGTGGCCGCGCTGCTCGAAGGCAAAGCCATCCCTGTCCTTCCATCCCCCGCAGAGGGGCCCTGGCATGGCAGAACCCCCCGAGCCAAGCAGGGGTGCGGGGAAGGCACCGGGGCTCAGTCCTTAAACCTGCGCCCTGCCTGCATYTTCTTGTAGTACAGGTCCACCTCGCTGTCGGCCGCCCCGTCCCGCTCGGCCGGCTTCCTCCGCAGCGTGGAATCKCGGCTGGCTGTGGCCAGTAGCCCCTCGGGGGGGGCTTCCACCCGCTCCCCAGCACCCCCAGCTGCCCCCGGGATGGCGGCCAGGCTGCCGTAGCGCGGCTCGTCCTGCTCCATGTCACTGACCGAGGAGCCAGGGGAGACGCCGGCGCTCTTGGCTGGGCGGAAGCCGTGGAAATCCTTCCCCACCTCACCCAGCTCGTAGGTGTCTGRCCCCTCCGGCCCCTTCGGCCCCGACTTCCACTCCCAGGGCCCRTTGCCGGCAGAGAGGTGGACAACAGGGTGGTGAGGGGCGTGCGCGTCAATGGTGATGATGCTGGAGCTGTCCCGCTCCGAGGGCGAGCGGTACTGCGAGGAGTCAGAGCTGGTGGAGGACGACGACGTYTCCGAGTGCTTGGGGGTGACGGAGACGAGGCCCTGCTGCTTGGACATGGCGATGACCTGCATCAGGCGCGGGGGGTTGGCCACCCTCTGCGCTCCCCCCTTCTCCGCCACCATCACCCACTTGGCCCGCACGGCCGCCCCGGCTCCGGCCGCGGCCCCGGCGCCCGCCTGGCTCTCCTCGGGGATGTGCACCAGCTGCGAGGCGCCCGGCCGGGGCTGGATCAGCACGCGTGGCCCCACGGCCGCCCTGTCGGCCGAGCGCGCCTGCACCGTGGGGTACAGGGAGGGCGGCACCTCCTCGCTGGGCTCCCCCACTCCCCGGCCCTGCGCCGCCTCCTCGGCCAGCGTCATGCTCCGGCCCTCCAGCGACTTCTGCTTCCACTCGGTGATGAGCTGCTTGGAGCGGGAGGCGTCCACGGGCACATGGATGGTCATGTGGCGCCGCGCGGGGTCGTCCATGGACGGSGTGTTGACGCGGGGCAGGGTGTTGCTGAAGGTCACCATGTTCTCCTTGCCCATGGGGCTGCGCGGGGCTAGCAGGTCCACGTCCACGCTGGCCCGCTTCAGGCTGCCCAGSGAGTTCTTCTCGCGCTGCACCGGCCGCGCCGCCTCCTCCAGCCGYGCCTGCGGGTTCAGCTCGTCCGTGCTCACCGATTTGTTCTGGTGGTACACRGAGTCGTGGCCCCGCTGCGTCAGCGCCCGCAGCGCGTCCTTGGCTGGCGCCTGCGTCGGGATCCGCTCCGTCGGGGCACGGAAGTTGCCGACAGCGTGGAAAGCCTGTGGGAAGGGGAACCAGGGAATTCTGGAGTGGTTTGTGTTGGGAAGGACTTTTAGAGGTCATCCTGTCCAAATGGGATGGATGGATGGCATGGACAACGTCCACTAGAGCAGGGTGCTCCAAGCTCTGTCCAGCCTGGCCTTGAGCACTTCCAGAGTGGGGCAGCCACAGCTGCTCTGGGGTGTGAGGAGTCACTGTGGCCCCTGCCAGTGTCACCCACACCCCCACAGAGACCAAGGGCAGGACCAGCACCCACCAGCACCCACCAGCACCCACCAACACCCACCAGCACCCACCAGCACCCACCAGGTAGGCGGCGATGCCGGAGCCGATCAGGAAGCCCACGTAGACGTCGGCGGGGTGGCTGCGGTACTGGGTGATCTGGGTCAGGCCGCAGATGCCAGCAGCGATGGCGAAGGCGAACACCAGGATGGGCTTGAGGAGTTTGGTGCTGTCTGAGATGATGGAGTTGAAATACATCTGGGGCAGGAACAGGCTGTTAGTCACAAGAGCTTTGGGACTGCAGCTGCCTGCACGCTCGAGCACCCCTGGGTGTGCACCCACACCCAGCCACGGGCACACGAGAGCTTGTCYGTGACAATGACAAAGTGACACAGCTGCCCAAGGCACAGAACTCACGCTCCCCAAGGTTGGTGGCACGGGGAACTCACCGACACGTAGACGGCAGCGAAAGCCGAGAGCGTCGCGTGCTGAGATGGGAAGGTCTTCCTGCAGGGACAAGGGACGTGGTTGGGACRGGACAGGAGGGCTGGCAGCGAGGCACAGGGCTCCCCTGGCACGTACCTGGCAGAGAGGATGGCGTGCTTGTCRGTGCCCGAGCAGATGTCCTGTGTGATGTAGGGGTTGGCGTCGCAGGGGGTGCCCAGCAGGGTGTAGTTGGGCTTGCAGACAGTCAGGAAGAAGGGAGCGTGGTAGCCAGTGGCCAGCTGGATGACGTCCGTCACCAGGGCTGTGGCACAGAGCCCAAACACGTGAACRCCTGGGGATGGCAGGAGTGGGAGAGCGGCTCACCCCCATCCCGTGTGGGGCAGCCAGGACTCACCCAGGCRCTGGAAAGGGTCCAGTGCAGCGTCCAGGGCCTGGGTGGGGCCGTGCTCCAGCTATCACAGCCAGAGTGGTCCCCTCCATCCCCCGGGTCCCGCTGAGGCTGCGGCACAACGTACCCACAAACCTGACGGTGCGGCGCAGGAAGGAGTTGAAGTTGCAGCCRCCGGCGTTGATGCTGCCCTCGGCACCGGCGCGACCCTTGAGACGCGACTGCAGGCAGTACACCATGCCCTCCCCGACCATGATCTGGGAAAGAACCGGGCTCAGGTGGGACTGGGGGGGTCTGGGTTGTTGGGTCTGGATGCTGGACACCCCAGGACCCCTATCCCCAGCTCCATCCCGATCCCACACTGGGACAAACCCGGACGCACCGAGGCGGCGGGCGCGGCGAAGGCCAGGCTGAGCAGCATCAGCAGCGGGATCAGCTCCTCGTTGGTCTCCACGTAGGGCATGGAGAGCGCCCGGTCATGGCACTGGAAGCCCACCTTGGCCGGCTTGAAGAGATCCGTCAGCTCCAGGAAATAGAGCGTCACGATGGAGGAGGCCACGATGGGCAGCTGAAAGGGGACAGCGTGGGGACCTCCGGAGCGATGGCACCGCCAGAACGGGGCACAGACCCCGGCCCGCCGTGCCAGAACACCCTGCACAGCCCCCAGCCCACGCCCACCCAGCCCACACCCACCTCCACGAAGTAGAAGCAGGGCAGGAGTGTCATGCTGTCCTTGGGGACGCGGGCTTTCTCCTTTGGGGGGATCATGGTCCTGGGCGGGCGTGGGGGTCCCACCGGGCTGTGCCACYACCCTGTGGGGACACGAGTGTCACCACATGGCAGGGGAATGGGCAGCACCGGTCACCCTTGGTCACCCCTCCAATCCCTGACCCCGGGAAGGGACAGGCACCCCCAAGCCACCACCCAGCCCTGCAGGGGTTCGGGCACCCTCAGGTCACTCCTGGTCACCCCAGGTCACTTCTGGTCACCCCCAGGTCACACCACTGCCCTCACTCACCGGGGTGACGCTGCCGGGACTGGTCGGGGGGTGCCCCACTTGTCCCAGGGGACCCCCAGCACCCCTGGAAGGGGGGGCCCAGCCGAACCAGGGGCTGTGACAACAGGTGGGGCGGAGGCTCGYCTGTCGCGACAGGCGGTCACTACCGCGACAGGCGGCGAGGCTGCTGCGGAGGGCGTGCGGAGGGGGTGTGCCGCCCGCAGAGCCGCGCCGGGGATGGGGATCCCCGARCCCTCCCGAACCCGGCCCCGCCAGATCGCACCGAGCCCAGGCTGCGAAATGAGGGGGGGAGGAAAACGGGGATGGAGCGGAGAGGGGCAACGGCGAGGGGCAGTGAAGGGCGGGCGATAACGGGGGATTAACCGGGGGGATGAGCGGGAGGGCGGGGGGCGCAGCGGGGAACCTCCCCTTGGCAGGGACCGTGCCGCAGCCGCGGGCGGGGGTCGGGGCCGAAGGATGGGAGGGGGTTTCGGGGGGCGGGAGGAGCGGCCCTTTGTGCCCGTCCGTGCCCCCCACTCACCTCAGCGGCGGTCCCGGGGCGCAGCGGGGCGGGGGGCGGCGGTAGCGGCGGCGGGGGGAGGATGTCCCCGGGATCCGGGATGCTTCTGCCTCGGCGGAGCGCGGGGAGCGGCGGCTTCCTCCGCCCCCGCCGCCTCCTCCTCCTCCTTCTCCTCCTCCTCCTCCCTCGCCCACCGCTCCCCGCCCCGCCCCGCTCCGCCGCCCCCGGCCCCTCCCGGGGCGCCGAGCCCCCGCCGAGCCCCCATCGAGCCCCCGGCGGTCCAGGGTTGGGGTCTGGGGGGTCTGGGGGGTCTCGGGAGGTCGGGGGGGGGTCGAGCCGAGACAAAGGGCCGGGCGGGGCCGAGGGCAGCGGTGGGACCGACCCCGCTCCGCACCCCGGACCGGCCCAGCACCGAGGGGTCCGGGGGKCCCCGGGACCGCCCCCCACCCGGGCTGATTCCAGCACCGGCCCTCCCGGTCAGCCCTCGCCCCCGTGTGCTGCGGGGGTGCTGACCCCGCCCCGAGGCCCCTCCCTTGACCTGTGGGGATGCCCAAGTGGGGGTCCCGCATTGTGGGGGTGCTTGACCCCAAAACCCACCGCCCCAGAGCTCTGCCAGCCCCCAACCCCAGCTGAGCTCTCCTGGCCGGGGGGAGCTGCCCTGCCCGTGGCACTCGGGGGTTTGGGGGGTGACTCGGGGCGAGTCCTGGACCCACGTCCATGAGGAACCCCAGTGGCGGTGCCGGGGGCCGACCCCAGCAGGAACCTTGTGTCTCCCAAATTTGTGCCTGGGGAGGTGGGTGCAGCCTCTTTTTCTTCCTGGAGCCTCCCGGTGYCTCCCGGCAGAGGCAGCAGCACCCCTGACCCCCATCTGCCCCTGTCCCCCCGCCCCRCAGAGGGTCCCRGCCGTGCCATACCCCGTGTCCCAMCCTGTACCCCATTCCCTGCAYCCCACAAAAGCCGCTCCCCGCTCCTCCCACTGCCCGCCCTCTCACGGTGCTGTCCGGGCTCTGAGCAGCCCCGGCTCCACATGGTGCCCTCGTTCCATTTTTGGCCCTAAGTGGGCAAAAATCTCCCGGCAAAAATCTCCCATCTAACATTTAGATGTTAGATTTAACATCTAAATCCCGAATCCCTTGGAAGCTGCAATTAAGCCGCTCTCCCTGCGGAAAATCCCTGCTTTGTGCCGGACTCGGCGACGCCACCGCCACACCGCGTGCTCCGACCCCCGCCCACCATGTGGGGACACGTGGGGACAGCGGGGACGCGAAGCCACCACCACAGAGGGACCCCTGAGCCACCGGGGACCCCCAATGCCCGGCCCTCTCCTCGTCAGCGAGTCCGGCCGGCCGCTGACCGTGTGTCCATTGGCCTGGGGGATTCGGGGGGTCGGGGTGATGGGGAATCAGCGCAGCCGGACAAAGGGAACGCGAGAGCTCGGGTGGAGCGAGAGGAGGAGCGGGGTGGGCTCCGGCCCCTTGTGGGGTRTCCCCTGCTCGGTCGGAGGGAGCGCGGCCGCACCCCGCTGTGGGTGGCTGTCGTGGGTTTAACAGTGGCCACGGTGGCCACGGTGGCAGCGGGGGACTCGCCGGGAGCGGGCGGGAGTMGAGGCGGTGGCTCCGCTTAGTGGCACCGGGGAGAAAGGCAGAGGGGACCGGGGCTGCCACCGCCACCGCCACCGATCACCGCCCCTGTCCCTGCTCCTGCTGCGGGGCGGAGATAGAATTTGCCGGAGCCTTCATTTGCCAAGAGGCTGAACTTTTTCGGCTTTGAAAACCCCGGTGCAGAAATCCCCGGCTGCCGGTGCCAGGGCCAGCAGCTGGGCCGGGCTGTTTCCTCCCTCCCGCGCTGTTTGTGCCGGGAACTCTTGACCCTTTTTATAAGTTGAATATTTCAAAACATTCAGCCCACGCTGCGGAAACCCCCCCCCGCTTTCTCCCCCCCTCCTTTCCTGCCCCAAACTGGATATAAAAGCGAGCCCCAGCCCCAGCTCCGGGTGAGCAGCGTCCTCCCCGCAGCCCCCGCGCACCCCCCGGCCCCTGAGCACCCCAAAACCCCCGCACCCCCTCCCCGATCCGGGCAGAGGGTTCTGCAGCCATGGGGCCGAGTCCTGCTCCCGTCTTTGTCCTGGCGCTGCTGCTGCTCTGGGGGGCCCCRGTGGATGGTGAGTGCACCCCCTGAACCCCAGGGCATCACCCAGCTCCCCAATTCCTGCAGTCAGGAGCTGCTGCAGCCCACAAGGAAGGGTCTGGGGACCCCGGGAAGGGACTGTGGGTGTGACACTGCCCCGTCCCCCTCGGCTGACCCGGCCTCTCTCCCGCAGGGCAGCCCCGGGGTCGGATCCTGCGAGGCTACGAAGCCAAACCCCACGTGAAACCCTACATGGCCGCGCTGCAGCTGGACGGGCAGCACGTCTGTGGGGGATTCCTCATCGCCCCGCGGTGGGTGCTGAGCGCTGCCCACTGCACCGAGGACACGTGAGTGTGTGTTTAGGGCTGGGGAGGCTGCGGGACTCGGGATAAATCCCACTCCATGGTCTCGACCCCATGTCAGAGCGTGGCACTTGGGTAGGGGCTGCAGGACCCCTCGGAGCTCCCTGGTGGGGTCTCCAACCCYTCCACAGCACCCCATTCCCATGGCKGGGWGCAGGGACACCCCCAGCTGTTTGTCCCACGCTCTGACTCTTTTCCAGGGATGGAAAACTCTTCCAGGTGCTGCTGGGCGCCCACTCGCTCACGGCGCCGGAGCCCCACAAACGCCTGTACCAAGTGCGTGCTCAGTTCCCCCACCCCGGCAGCAACATCCACAACAACAAGGACGACCTTCTCCTCCTCCAGGTGGGCTGGGGGCTGCTGGGACCCTCCTCCCCATCAGGCACAGCCCCGTTCCTGCAAATCCCTGTAGGGTTACTGAGTGGAAATCCTCGTGGTCAGGTTGGGCCTGGATTTAATGTCCATCCCTCCTGTCTCATGGGATCGTCCTTGCTTTCACCATCAAAGATCCTCATCTTCCCCATATCTCTGGTCTCTGGCCGCCTCCTGGGGCTCCCTGAGTGTGGCAGAGGCCGGGGTGACCCCGATATCAGGGCTGGGCTCTCTGTGCCTCGCTGGGCATCCTGTGACCTGTGTCCCCCTGGCTTTGTGRCAGCTGGAGGAGAAAGCAGAGCTGAACACGGACGTGCGGGTGCTGCCCTTCCAGCGGGAGGACAAGGACGTGGAGGCYGACACCATGTGCGAGGTGGCGGGCTGGGGAACCATCGATCACAGCGGCACCCGGCCCGACCGGCTGCAGCAGGTGGAGCGGCCGGTGATCAGCCGCCACGAATGCAACCGCCGCAACCGCCACGACGGCACCATCACCGACAAGATGATGTGCACCAACTCCAGCAAGAAGGACACCTGCAAGGTACAGCACAGCCGGCACGGAAACACGGCCGGAACAGCGGGATGGGGCTGCTGAATGCCTGCGGGGAGCTGGGAGAGGGTGAAGGGGGAGAATGACCAGAACCGGGGAGAGGCGAGGGGATTCGGGGCTGGAAGGTCCCGGGGTGAGGGGTCCATGGTCGCTGCAAAGCAGCTCGTGGGCTGTCCTAGCAAAGCTTGGCCACGCTGATGAGTTTTGGTCCTTCAGGGAGACTCYGGTGGCCCCCTGGTCTGCGGCGGGGTGGCCGAAGGGGTGGTCACTGCCGGGTCCCGCGTCTGCGGCAATTTGAAGAAGCCGGCCATCTACACYCGCATCGCCCCGTACGCCGACTGGATCGACAGCGTCATGGCCTCCGCCGACGGGGAGGGGGACCCTCGCTGAGGGGACAGCAGGGACATGCTCCACGCCACGGCTTGCTGCTGCCAGCACGGCCAGAGCGCCCGCGGAGCCGCCCCGCCGCGCTTCAGGGGCTCCCATCGCTGCCCGCCCTGCTGTCCGAGCGTCCCCCCGTGCCAGGAGCAGGGCTGGGCCAGGGGACTGGCGAGGAACCGAGGAAAGGGGTCCCTGGCCCCCCACTCGCAAAGCACAGGGCCCAGCTGGGGGAGAACGGGGGGTCACAGCCCCCAACAGGCTTTGCTGAAGGTGCCCAAAACGCTGCCCGCGACTGCTGCAATAAAGTGATGATGATTCCTGCAGAGCTGCTCTGGGCTGGGGGAKTTGGGGTGCACGGGGGGAACTGGARGGGTCTRTGCAGGGGGGAGATGGRCATGGRGTGGGAGATRCTRAGGTTGAGCCCTYGGGGATGGCGTGGCCTGGGGTGGGAGCAGGGGACACATTCTGCAGTGTGGCCATGACAGGATCAGGATCCGGGGCCTCCTGCAGGGTCATGGTGTGAATATTCATGGTGTGAATATTCATGGTGTGAATATTCATGGTGAGAACATTGGGGGAAGCACAATGTCCCCGTTGCTGATACGCAGGGGCAGCTCCAGCTCCCACGGTGGGTCCATGCTGGGACCCTGCAGGATTCTCACTGGGATTCTGCTGTCCCAGGAGATGAGGGGCAGGGTGGAACAATCCCCATCTTCCCATCACAACCCTGGTCACCCCAAAACCCCCGGTTCCCCCCGTYTCTGGAAGGAGCAGGGCCAAGACACGAGAGATGGGAGCAGGGAAAAACACAGCCCAGGGCACTGCCTGACCCTTCCAGTCCCATCCCCGGAGTGCCATGGTCAGCAGGGGGACAAGGGGGTCACCAATGTCCCTCCATCCCCTGCTGTGTGCTGCTCCCTGTTCCCAATCAAACATTAAATAACCCCGAACCTCTTCTCTAAGATAAAGCAGCTCACAGAAGGCCCAGTTTGAGTTTTACTTACAGGGGAAAAGAGCCTTAACAAGGTGCAGTTTCCTAATTAGCCATCTGATTGTCCCTAATTACCAGGAGGAGAGGTCTGTACAGCTCTTACAGCTTGTGCAGCAGAACATTCGCTGGAGCCAAGGGATGAACTCGCAGTCACCGGCTCCAGTTCTAAATAATGAAATCATGGTTCCAGAGGGAAAGGAATGCACTAAGCCTGGMTCACTCCCTCTCTTAAAYACTCTGTGGGGACCTGAATTTCTGWYTGGGATGCAGCAGRGGGAGGCTCCAGGCTCTCCTCCCCAAGAGCTGAAGATCCACAGGAGCAGAGCGGGCTCAGATCACCCCCAAAGGGCTGGGGCTGCCCTGGCACAGCCACGCTGGCTCTGGGAGGTTGTGATTTCCTGCCCAGGGCAGCAGCATCAGAGGGGGCCAAGAGAGGGCAAAAGTCTGAAASCATTTTGGCTGCAGCAGCAACGCTCCTCCTCCGGCCACTCAAGTGTCCAGCYTTGCCTGAGGCTGGACACTTGCACAACCCCAAATATTTGATGCTTTTTTCCTCAAGTGTCCATAAAAGTGAACCTTGAAAACATCCCCTTCCACTTTTGCTAATGATTACAGTTCCTTTCCTGACAGATGTTCCTGTGGCTTTCCCACTGCCCTGGCCCCATGCTGGACGGCCACGTCACACCACAGAAACAAAACCACATGCTTCTGTAGAAAATTTAGAGAATTTTTATTTACAACAGCAAAAGCCAAAGGGAGGGTTCACTCTGGGCAGCAGCACTYGTGTTCCTGCTCCCCTCCAACACCRATGGGCACACAGGAGCAAACTCCTGTCAGAGGGACAAGTCTGAGTGCCCAGGAGTGCCCAGCCCGTGTGGCAGAGCAGAGGCACAGGATGGATGTGAGGTACCAGGTGTTTGCTCCCCTCAGCTGGGACTTCRTTCCTCACCAGCCACCCCATCACCACTCTTTGCCCAGGCAGGGAAGGCTGATAGGATTTTGCCACTCCGCTGGTGCAACCCTAACACACAGCCAGGCTCCCCTTCCCATTTTCTCCCAAATGATGGGGAAACCTGTGGCATTCCCTTCCAGCTCTTCCCTCAGCTCTGTTTTCCAGCACAGCTCAACCAGGGATGAGCAGCAGCAGTTTTTCCACCGTGCCAGARAGGAGCTGCCATTCCCTTGTCCCAAAACCTCCATGGGAAGAACTCAGGAGTAGCTGAGGGGCATTTTCCTCCASAGCCCCCCACACAGACAGTTCTTGATCCAGCGCTGCTCCCACTGCTTCACTGCTGTCACCTTGTTGGGTGACTTYAGCATGGTGACACAGCCACACCTGGGGGGACACGGAAGGTTCAGGAAGCACTGAAAAGCCAGCACTGCACAGATCACACAGGGATCTGGAGATTCATGGGGGAAACCAGCTCCTRTCATCTGCAGGTGACACTTGTGAGCATCAAAACCAGCTGAAACCAGCAACAAAATCCTGCTGAGGGCTCTGCTGGAGCCGGAGCTGGAGCCTGGCAAGGAACAGCCYCAGCTGCTGTTTATACATGAAACAACTGACAGTCATCTCACAAAAATGATCTGCTACAGAGGCTTTCTATTAAAACCAGTAATTAAAGCTAATTCAATCACATGACTTAGATGGATGTTTGTTTCCTGAGCCATTATCCTGACATCCAGGCTCTCCTGGGAGGGTGGATGAGTAGAACAGCACAAAATGTGAGSCTGGTGGAAAGATGACCCCAAAATGGGAGCAGGGGCATTGGGGTGGTTCCTCTCCCCAGCCCCACTATGACCACACAGTGCTTGAATGACCAGACCCACAGAACTGGGGATACTATGAAGGAGCTGCTGTAGGGTCTCCTCCAGGCCAGATTAATTTCACAGCTTGATCTGTTTGATTTTTAACCCAAAGGCTAGGCTGCAACAACATTACTCTCTGATGTGTGTGTCCCAAGTTGGGGACACCTTAACCACAGCCACAACTGGCCTTGGAGAGCTCCTGAAGGACACAGGACAGTCCAAGCCCCACTGGAAGGGTCACTTTACCTRGTACAGGACTTGCATTCCTCTGTTGGGTACGCGCCCAGGTGCAGCCGCCTCAGGTGGTCAATTTTGGGCTGTCCAGGGGCCCTGGGSAGGGAGAACAGGACTCACTTTCCACATTTCACTGGTCAACATGCCACCCACCCAATGCCATGGGATTTGTGCCCACAATGACACAATTAATCACAAACCAGAGGGTTTTCCCCCCCATTTGCTATCACTTTYCAGTACTTCATATTCCCAGCCCATCACAAGTTGAATAAAGGATTCCAGCAGAGAGGACATACTGCTCTGGTGCCACACCAGCAAGGGGACAAGCCAAACTTCAGAGCTGCCAAGGCTCCTCTCACACTGCACTGAGTCGTTCTGGGGGTTTGTACCTGACAAAGGCATCGAACTGGGAAGAGACAGTGTGACCAACGAGCCCAGGAGCCTTCCCAAACTGCAGCCTGACCAGCTGCTTGTTCTGCAGCTTGCTGATGATGCCATCGTTGATGGGCAGCCAGTCAATGTTGGGAATGAGCAGTTGGCTGGGCAGGAGGCAGCACTCRTCGATCAGGGCATCGTCAGGCTCCGTGATGTGATTTTCCTCACGACCTGCGTGGGAAACGAAGGAAAGAACCCGTGTGACCTTTAAAATTCTCCCTCAGAGCTCCAGAGAGCTGAATGCAGCCTTCTCCTCCTCTGCCAACTCAGCCTGGAAAACAATAACCTTGGCAGCTGCACTTGCCCTTTCTGAACGTGCCAGACCCCCTYGGAGCCACGTCCCACCCCGCTGTGGCAGGAATTGCTGTTCAGGGAACTGGCCACACTCACAGCACAGCCAGAGCTTGGTCAGGAGCCGGAAGAGCAGGGACATGCTGTCCTGGGTGTCRGAGGTGGCTGTGTAGACGGGGAGGCAGCTGGGCTTCAGCAGCCCCCAGATGCGGATGACCACCATCAGCTCGCGGAACATGCCGAGGGACGCGCCGTCGCGCAGGAAGCTGTGTCCGGGGCGCACCGGGGAGCCCTGCGGGGGGACAGTGGTCATTGGGGGTCACACCGGCCTGGGTGGGGGTCACACCGGCCCCAGACACTGGGCTGTATCCACAGAGCTCCACCTTCCAGCAGCCTGAAGGTGACACCTCGGCAGAGCTGTTCCAGGAGTGTCCCCAGCTTTCACAGGTCGCTGTGTCACCAGCCCCAAACAGGCATGGGAAGAGCTACTCTCTATTTCTGTTTCTTATTCCTTCCCAATGCCTGTGCTCACAGGAACCTGTGGCCCTGTGTGCCCTGGCTAAAGCTCCCCAGCACTGCCCACGGGTGCTTGTGCACCCCAGGCCTCACCTGGTTGGGAAGGCTGGCCAGCAGGTAGAGCACAAAATCCCCCACCCACTGGATGAGCTGCTGCAGGGACTGCAGCGTCGTCATCTCCARCACAAACTCTTCCGTCTTCAGGTTAATCATCACCTTGTCGATGTCTGGAAGAGAACGAAAACATTGCTTGGCTCAGGAAGATGCATCCAAACATCACACCCTCACTGCAGAGGTCACCTTTCTCCTCCTCCTCAAACCTAGGAGTCACTACGAGACTGTGCCACCACAGGGAASGATCCAATCCCAAACCCCAGGAAGGCAGTGGGGGATGCTGTGAGCAGTCAGTACCTACATCCGTGATCTTGGAGCAGATCTCGGTGAGCCGGTCCCCGGGGCTCTTGTCTGGGGTGTTGAGGAAGTGAGGGCGCAGCAGMGACTTGAGGGTGCAGCTGATGGCGATGAGGAAGAGCTTGGCGTGGTAATCACACACGCGGGCGATGGTGCTGGAGGAGAGCTTGCACAGCGACGCCTTCATGGCAACGATGCGTGTGGAGAGCACCTGAGCGACGGGGAAATGCAGGGAAAGGCACAGGGAAAGGCAGAATTAGCATAAGCTCATTAAAACTGCTGCTGCTGCTGCTGTTGCTTTATTCTCTGCTCTCCCTTTCTGCCGCAGCAGTGACAGGAATAGTGAACGCTGTGCACGTGAGCACTGCGCTGGGCACGTGCTGATGTTCCYAGAATCTGCCAAAAATAGACTTCACCACCTCACCCTGGGTTTCAAACAGGTTCTTCTCAGTGAAAGTTGACTGCTGGCATGGGATTACCTTCCCAGCTCCGTCACTGCCCAAGCCAGGCACTCAGAGAGCACAGCCAGGTAGAGCCACCCATGTCCTGAGGACGGGCACTGGCTGCTGTCCCCTCCAAGTCCCTGACCTCCCTTGTGCCCACGCACTGACCTGCTGCAGGGCTGCGTTCTGGCGCATGTACTCCTCRTGCAGCTTCTCCACCAGGTTCTGCACCATGCTGGGCTGGACGTGCAGCAGGATGTCCCACCAGTCGTAGCCYGTCACCATGCAGTACTCCAGCAGGAACAGCAAGTGCCGTAGGGACATGTTCATGTCCAGCACGTGGCCCATGGAGGGGGAGATGCGGAGCATGCTCAGCTGAAGGGAGGAACCAATGGGAAATTGGAGGAGTGGGCTTGAAACCATTCCACAATATGGAGCACCATGCAGCAATCCTGACCTAGTGACAATTCCTAGTGATACACCCCTTCCCAACACGTATTCACAGCTGGAATTCCCAGCATTTTCCGAGCAGCCCATCATCCCTCAGAGAGCTGGGTGAGGACTAATCCTGCCAATAGAGAGCACCAACCTTCCCATGACTRTCCACACCAGCCAGGGCCAGAGATGTCCAGGAGAGCTGCATGGCCTTGAAGTGTACCAGGGGCCCTGCGGTGCGTGGGCGCTTGAGGGACGGTTCGTCCACGGGGCGCTGCGAGGAGGAGCCATAGAACACAGCCATCATCTGCAGGGACAGCCGGTGCACGATGTGGACACTGCCATCGTGGAAAGCCAAGGCCAGGCCTGGGGACAGGAGACAGGAGGATGAGTAAGCTCCTCCTGAAGCAGTAGCCACCATGGGAGCCCACGGAGCAGCCAATGTGTTGGGAGCTCATCAGCATTTCACAGCCTCTCCCCATGGAAAAGCAACGGAATGGCTGGAAAGACATCCTGTTTGAAAGTTTTCCTTCAGCATTCCAAGTGCTTTGCTCCCATTCTTACTTCAGCTAYAACTCATTTCGGGCAAAAGCCCAAAATGTTTTAGGATGAACACAACAGGAACTCCTTACCCARTCCAGGGAAGAACTTGGTGTCGTTTGCCACCTTCAGATCCGTGTTGGTCAGGGAGATTGGCAGCTTTGGCAGCGCCACAGCTGACACTCGGTCCAGGTCATTGGTGGCAGACAGGATCCGCCACTTCAGGATCATGGGCTGCTTGTCWCCCACTTGGGGGAACAAGCAAACGAGTGAGATTTTTGTCCCAGAGAGATCAGAAAATCCTCCCCCCATTTCCACCCACACTCCCCAACCAAGCAGGATCACAAATCAGGCACTGACTCTTCATTCCACCATGCTGGTGCATTTCCCCCATATTTCCAGTATGTTTCCCTCACATTTCCCTACTTTTTTCCTGAATTATACAAACAACATGTTTTGCTAAATCTCTCTTGATGGAAAGCTCTGCTGCGGGTGATTAAGATTCTTATATACAATAATCCTTCATATTTCACCAAACAAACTGCCCCGATTAATTCTGTTCTATCTGAGATCAGGTGGAGCCCAGGCAGCCAGGGCAGGGAATTAATCCAGCTCTGCTGCTCGATCCTGGTCCTTTGGGAGGCTTTGCTCCACTGGCAGCAGGAAGGGCGGCTGYGCAGCAGAACACAGAAAATGTCTTTTATGAAGTGAAAGCAACAACCAAACCCCTTCCTGGAAACAGCAAGTTTTGCAGAAACAGACAGAATGGACTGAGAACACCTGAAAATAAACACGGGATTCTGAAWAATCCCATATATGGGGTAACAGATGTGAGAAACTGAGCTGGTTTTTCCCTCAGACCAGTGGAGACACTTACCCACAGGAGAGATTTGCTGGAAGATGTTGTTGACAGGCAAACCCTCCTTCCTAAGGGACCAGCACTCCACGATGCTGTTGTTTTGGTTGGAAGCACAAAGCAGCACCTGGGGAACAGAGCCCCCCACACGAGGGTCACAACAGGGAGGGCACTGCCCTGATCATTCCCACCCTCCATTTCCAGGGTCCTGCTCTCGGTCAGGTCATGCTCCACCAGCAAAAAGCAGAGGATGGAATCAGTGGGAGGTGATGGTGAGGTACAGCTGCACCAACAGCACTTCCCAGAATGGCAACTAGGAATGCTAACAGTATTGCAGGAGCAAACAGCAGCTGCCCACCTGCTCTGACATATCCCGAGCCAGGAATTTGAGGTGGGTGATGGCCGGGTACTTGTCCTTGCGGGCGGGGTCCGTGGTGCAGCGCATGAACAGGGACGGCAGGATCTCTGTGTCGATCTTGCACTTCTCATTCACCACGCTGACACAGACCTTGTAGAACTGCACTGGGGACGTGCTGCTGCCATCAGATGTGGCCACCACGATGTTGCCCCCGCCGGTGAAGGCGACGTCGGCCAAGGCCACGCGGCAGCGGAGGCGGCACAGGCTCTCGGTGGCCGTCAGCACCTGCCCGTTGGGCTTGAGGAGGGACACGGTGACCAGCCCGCTGATGGTCACAGCAATCCAACCCTCCATGGGCTTCCCACCAAACAGCGTCAGAGACGGAGAGAATTTCACCCTRGAGAACTTCTCGCCGAAGTTTGATGCACCTGACTGTAACAGAGAGCAACAAAATTGAGGTGTTTGTACCTAAAATTTGTGCCTGAGGAGCTCTCCTCGTGGGAGAGGGGCAGGATTTCTGTGAGACACCCCAAGAGTTACAAAAACACAGGAAGGGAAATTGTGCTTGGCAGCCCTGGGCTTTCAGAGTCTGCAGAATCAGACACGGTTCCAAACAAGGAGCTCATCTCCGTGTCCAAATCCCCAGATCAAACCTCAGCACCCCGAATGCATTCCCTCTGAATTACCACTGGTAAGGAAAGAACTGCTCCACCTCCACGGAACTGAGGCACCAGACTACAGGAGATGTATTTAAAACACCAAGAGAAACAAAGCTCCCAAAACAAAGCTCCAATCGCCATGGGAATTCAGCAAGAAACAGAAATCTGACTTCTCTTTGACTGGAAAAACTCCTCAAGGGCCTAAGAGAGCCCAGACCACAGAACACACACAGGAACCTGAGTCCTTTGCCAAGACCTGMGCCAGCATTCCAGCCCAGATCCTTTAAGAAGCTGGGACAAACCTTTTCCACGTGCAGTGCCAGCTTGACACCGTTGTGCAGCCAGGACAGGGCCACCACCGGGTCCCCCTCCACCACGCTGCCCACCGTGTTCTCCCAGCTGTTGGCCAGGTGATCTGTCATGCTCCAGCACTTGATGTGGCCATCAGCGTCCGCAGAGAGCAGCCTGGAGCCTGTGACAGTGACACTGTGTGAGGACAGGGAGAACAGGCAAAACTGCCACCCCGAGGAATCGCATCACGCTGCTTTGGGGTGTGCACAGCATGGGTAGGGAATGGGGACGAGGAGAAGGGATCACAGCCCACCTGACTGATCCCACTCCAAGCATGTGATGACCTCAGTGTGGCCAGAGTTGACGGAGTAGACGTCCCACGGGTGCTCGGTGTCGATGATGTGGACCATGTGGGTGAGATCTGCATGAACAGAGAGGTGACTCCTTGTCCCTTGTCACCGTTTCTGAGCCTCAGAGCCTCAGATGATGCAAGGAAAATATCAAGTATTTTATATAAATTATTTTGGGCAGGGTAACAACTGCGCTGGGAACTCAGTGAGGGGTCAGACAATGGCAAAGGTCTGGTCGTGGTTTAGGGGAGCCAAAACCACTCCTGGGGAACAAATTAGTATTAGACATTCCCAGAGGCTGAGGGATGGAAGGAAAAGCAGGAGCAGCAGCCAGGAGCTGTCTGGGGCAGCACAGAGCTCCTGTCACCGGTCACCCAGCAGATCCTGGAGCTCCCCAAGCGCACCCGGAGCTCCCAGGAGCGATTTCCCGAGGCGCAGGCGGTACCTTTCTCCTCCTCATTGCGGAGGTCGGTGGTGAAGGCGATGAGGTTGCGGCAGGACCAGGCGCACACCAGGGGGATGGAGGGGCAGTGGTTGCTCTTGGGTTTCTTCTCCCACTCGCACACGTACGCCAGGTCCATCCCCGTTGGGGACACGGGACACGCTCGGTTCTGCCTGGGGGTGACACAAGGCCCGTCACACCGGGAGCGGGACGCACGGCACGCAGGGATCCCAACCCCGGGCCGTGTGCAGGGAGCGCGGCCACGGGGACAGCTCCGCACCGGGACAGGCCCGGCGGCCCCGCGGGGACGATCCGCGCGTACCGATCCTACGGCGAGCGGGGAGCGCGGGTGGGAGGATCCCTAGGGGAGTCGGGGTGGACACGGGAAGGCGCCGGGGGGTCCCGGGGARGGCTCAGGAGGGTYCCGGGGGTGTCGGGGCTGTCACAGAACGGTCCCGGTTCCGCCTCCCTCACCGGCGCCGCCGCCTCCCGCCGCTCCCCAGGACCCCAGCACACCCCCGCGGGCTGCCCGCACCGCGCCTGCGCCGAGCGCTCAGGCACCGCCGCGGACACTCCGGGCGGGGGCCTTCAGAGCGCCATTCTGCAGCTCTAATTTACATAAAAACTACCCAGAAGCTACCGCGCATAAACAGCAGAAATAACAGGGGATTTTGGGGACATCCGAGGGCAAAAAGGCGACAGAATATTGGAAAAAACTGTGGAAGCCCATAGCACGTTTAATCTAAAAGATTGTGGTGGTCACCCTATCCTGGCGATATTGCTTTTCTGGGCCTTTAAATAATGCTGCGGATATGTGTTGATCCGTGCTCGCTTCGGCAGCACATATACTAAAATTGGAACGATACAGAGAAGATTAGCATGGCCCCTGCGCAAGGATGACACGCAAATTCGTGAAGCGTTCCATATTTTTCGCACCTCCCCGCACCCTCCTTTTGCCGCCCGAGCCGAACCGGCTTCCCCTTTATCCCCCCAAAGTTCCCTCCCCGTCCCCGCCGTCCCCGTCCCCACACAGAGACACAACCGGAGCAGGGGAGCACCGTCTTTATTGTTCCTGAACGCGCCCGTACCCGAGTCACACCAGCGAAGGAGGCACCAGGGGCTCCCCTGGTTCTGGGGGTCCCCACGGTTAATGGCAGTCGGTGTCAGCACGGGACAGAGCAACCAGCAAAACCCCSCCGGGGCACACCTTGCGAGCGACCCTTGGCACATGCCAGGGACACGGTGGAGGGGACACAGAGAGACACCCAAAAAATGCCCCATCTGCCCCCATGGCAGCTGTGGACGAGCAGGGAGAGCCCCGAGGGTGGGCTGCACCCCTGCAGCACACACACACACACACACACACAACACACACACATACACGTAAAATACACACACACGTGATAAAAAACACAAGCTATATTACACTTAAAAACAGCCCTGTCGTGCGGGCAGGGCGCAGGGTGTGGGGTAAGAGCACCGGGAGCTCCCCACACTCCGCCCTGCCCGAGGGGGCCGAACCCCCCTGGACACCCCGTGGGCGCGGGGCTGCGGAACGCGGCAGCCCCCAGGCTCTTCCGCCGGCTCAGCGATTGCTCAGCAGCCGCCAGGAGCTGTTTCACCGCAGAAAAATCTGGACCGAAATCACCCCACGAGCGTCAGAGCCAGAGGGGGGCTGGCCCCGCCTGATTATTTTTTTTTTTTTWAAAAACACCTGGGTTATAAATAGACACGCAAACAGTTCCAGCAAGGGTGAGCGGGGAGCGGGGCGGGCGAGAGGCACCGGCTCCGTACCCGCAGCGGTGTCGGGACGGTCCCGGCACCTCGAGGGGCACAGCAGCGAGCCCCCAGCTCTGTCCCGGCTGCTGGAGCAAGGGAAAGGACCGAGGGTCCGAGAGCTGCAGGGCTGGGAGAGGCTGCAGAGGACACGGGAGGGGCGAGGGCAGCTCTCGGGGCATCAGCTCATCTGCTCCAGGTAGTCTGAGAGCAGCAGCTCGGGCGGCAGGAACACGCGGTGTTTGTTGCTCACTTTCATCTGACGTTTCCCTTCGATGTCCGAACCTGCGGGAGGGGATGGAGCGGTCAGCACGACCCTGATACCCCCCATCGCAGTGCTCCCAACCCAGCCACCGCCCTTCCATCCTCCCTGGGGCTCTGTCCCCTCCGTCCCCAGCCCACTCTCCCCATCATCAGCCACAAGTGGCTCCTAAGGAAACGCTCGGCAGCGGATCCTCCGTCCCTGGTGCCTCCCCTGCCTTGGCAACAAAACCTTCTGGGGACGCCCGGGGCAGGGCGAGAGCTCGGCTGCTCTTTGGGATGAGGAAGCAGCTGTAGGAGAGGGAACCCCACGAGCAGATTCTGCTTTGGAGCACCCAAATCCTGCGGCAGAGCTGGGTCCAGGGAGCTCCAGGAGGAAGTGGGTGAGGGTGGGGACCGCGGGGTTATCTGTGAGCCCCAGGGCGAGGTGGGGCCGGGGGGAGGAAGGGAGGAAAAGGCCGAGCTGGGGAGGAGAGATAGCGATGGATGGAGGGAAGGGGGAAAAAAAAAMCCACRAAAACAAAATCAAAATCAAACGCAAAAACAAGAACAAGCAGACACGCGGCTCTTACTGGCAGAGACGAGATCCATGTACTGGCAGAGCGCGTGGAGCAGGAGCCGCTCGAAGCTGGGGGACAGGGGACAGGGTTAGAGCTGATGTGTTTTGTGTGTCCCACAGGCTGCTCTGCCCCTGACCCTCCCAGGGACCCACACGGGGAGCACAGAGTSCCACAAATCCCTYTGTGTGTCATCCTTGCRCAGGGGCCATCCCTCCCCTGGGGCTCCACGGTGTCCCCAAAATGAGGGGAGGACAAGGGGTGTCCCCTGCAGCCCGAGGCAGCCCTGGGGCACAGGGAACCCCACGGGTGGACATACCTGTTGTCCATCAGTGCCGTGTACACCGAGTGCGGGGTGACAGAGAAGAAGGCCAGCAGCTCCTCCTCCAGCCCCTCCAGYGTCCCCTGTGAGGAGATGAAGGGCTCAGCGAGGAAGGGGAATGGTGGGCACAGCCCTGGCACAACAGGAGCTCTGATTGCCCAGGAGTTACTGCCAGCAGCTCCTGGGCACGGCACACAACAGGGAGAGGAGGCATCTCCCATCTCCAGCCCTAGAGGCGGGGAAGGATCCACCTCCTGCCAACTCTGTGCTGTCTGTGCCAAGGGTTGGCACCATCCCTCGTGTTCRGAGCAGCCTCGTGCCTCCCGACACTCAAAGCTGAGCGCTCTGCAGGTCTCCAGAGTGCCGTGACCCCGGAGACGAGCAGCACACGCAGCTCATTTGAGGACAAACAAGCCAGCGGGCAGGAGGAGCCCAGGCTGCATTCAGAGGCTCTAATTARCACCAGGGAAACAAACAGAGCCTCACAGAGCAAAGGGAGCAGGGAGCCAGCACCCCCAGGGCTGGGACAGCGAGTGTCTGGGCAGGCAGTGCAGGGCTGCACTCACCTCTCTCCATCCTGCCCAGAAGTTYGTGCACTTTTACCCTTTTTTTTCATTTTTACCCAATTTGTGCATCTTTCAAAATGCATTGGGGTTTCCCCAAATGTCCCACTGTGTCCCCATGCACACACACACCAAGGTTTAGTGCTCACTGCACAGAGACTGGGAAACAACCGCTAAAAAAAAGCTCTTGGAACTGCCAGAAAAATCTGAACTGAGCCAGGAAAACCCATCCTGGGAGCGGGATGTCAGCCTGCAACCAGCTACCACTGCGGGGTACAGAGCGCTGGAGCACGTTTCCTGTGAAATTTGGCACTGCCCTGCACAAGGTCAGGGCACAGCCTTGGAGATGTGGCCGTGGAGGGTCCCCTGCCAGCCCCAGCCCTGCTGTCCTGAGCCCCCCAGCTCACCATGGGGATCCTGCCACGCTTCAGGGTGGCGCGCAGGCGGCGGCTGATGCGCTGGAAGCACTCCTGGGGTGTGTAGGCTGGCAGCTCTGGAGGAGGGAGAAGGGATTCAGACAGAGCTCACAGCTCCAGAGCCTGCARTGTCACCTTTTGGGAGGATTCAGTGTCCCCTCAGCCACCCCAAGGCCAACCCCTTTGTATCCACCCCAAAACAGCAATGCGCTCCCGAGCATGGGGTGCGAGATTTGGGGGTGTGACATTGGGGGTGGCTGTTGTGGCTGTCACCCCAGCCCCTCCTGGCTCCCACAAACCCTCCCTGGTCCATGGTGGGGGTCTGCAGGCAGCAGGGTGGGCTCAGGCATCACCACGAGCAGGGAGTGGGTGGGTGCAGCCTTCCAGAAAGGTCACCCTTCCCAGAATGTACACAGGGAAGGGAAGGGAGAGGCTGTCCCCACCCAGCGTCCCCTCCCAGCACCTTTCCACTTGTCTTCRTTCTTGACAGGCAGCTTCCTCCTGTGCTTCTTCCTGGCTTCCTCCTCCAGGTAGAGCAGCACCCGCTCCTGCTCCTCTCCYGAGCGGTTCATGAAATCGTTCCAGATCTGACAACAAAAGCCACCAATCCCCCTACAGAGATCTGTGGGGAGCACCTGGCAGTGCACGGCCACCCAGAGCCCCCTCCTCACCCACCCTCCCCCAGGGATGGCCCTGAGAGCCACACTGGGGAGAGGCCACGTTTCAAAACACMGGTTACAGGGTCAGTGTGAGGCAATGGGGTTGGGCAAGGGGCCAGGGCCAGAGGAAGCACAGCAGCTCACCGAGCTCTGCAGGCATGGCTCTCCATGAGACGATCTACCTGGAGATTCCCCCACCCCATCCCTCAGGAACTGGGGGTCCCAGGACCCCATTCCAGCCCTGACACCACACCAGGCAGCAGCTGGGGAGCAGCAGCTCATGCCAGGGAGGCAGAGGGATGGAGGAGCGAGGCACAAGCACCACAGGGAGCCCCAAACCCTGTGGCTGCACCCACCTCCACGTAGGTCTCGTTGTTACACGCCTCGGTGAAGATGCTGGGGGTGGCAGAGTGGGTGAGCTCTCCCTCATCACTCCCGCAGTCATCCTGCTCCAGAAGTGTCATCAGATAGCGAGCTGGGGGGGAAAAGGCAAAGCCTGGGACTGGGGGCAGCACCTCCAAAAAAACCCCATACCCCCAGCACCTCCAGAAAGACCCCACACCCCCAGCACCTCCAGAAAGACCCCAAACCCCCAGCACACCTCTGCTTGTCCTGCAGTTCAGGAGAAGTTCCTGCCCCAATTCCTGCCCAATTCCTGCCCCAATCCTTACTGTTCTCCAGCCTCTGGAGGCTCTTGCGGCCCTTGGCCCTCGGGATGAGGTCGGAGTTGCGGATGGCCTTGTTGATGTAGTACTGCTTCCTCTTGGACGGGGAGAACCGCTTGGACGGGGAGTCCTCCAGCGGGGGCAGGCAGTCCTCGATYCTCCTGCGGGGACAGGGAGGGAGRGATGAGCCCACCAGAGACCCCTGRGCAYGAGGATGGGGACAGGGAAGAGCTGCAGCGGAGGTGATGGGGCATCAGAGCATCAGCCCTGGTGTTATTGCAGCTGGCACGCAATCCTGTCCCCCTCGGGTCACCGCCAGCTCCAAGGGCTCWGCTCAAAGCAGCTCTGTGTCAGCGCTGGGCGGGCTGGGTAATTAACCTGGGGTGATTAACCTGAGTAATTAACAACACCACAGCAGAGCAAAGTGACAGATCCATTCCTGCTGCCCCTCGCGCTTGCCATCGCCCTGATCAGATCTGTGGCTGCCCTGCCGTTCTTTACTGACCACCAGCCTGGCCAGGCCACTGCCAGCTCCACGGGGCACCCAAGGGYGCTTGGCCTCTGTTCACAACAATTCCATGGTCAGGGCATTGCTCAGTCACAGGTACAACTTAGGAATGACCATAAAACTGTGGCAACTTTATGGGAAAACAAAGTCACGCAATGAGCGAGCAGCTCGCTGTATGCTGAACGCAACTGCTTGGGTTTCAAAGTTTACTAAACACCAAAGACAGGAAGTTTCACTGTCTTCGCTTGAGAAGGAGCTTCCCCTCAGGGTTATGTGGGTTTCCTTTAGCATAGCAGAAACTGGGGGTGAAAAGCAACACCCCCCAAAAAAAAAAAACCCAGGACTGTCCATCCAGGACAAACAGCTGTGCTGCCACAGCACCACTGCCCAGAGTGACCACTACTGCCACAGCAGCACCACAGGGCCACGTCCCCACTGTATCCCCTCCTTCACAGTGTCCTGGGGCTTGGGGGAGCCCCAATCCCGCAATCAGGCCCTGGCAGAGCTGATCTGGGCACAGGGCAGAGCGGGCTGTGCTGTCTGATTGCAGCCTGGGCCAGCAGCCAGCTGCTTGCCCTCGCCAAAACCTTGATTTTTTTTTTTTTTTCCCCCCCTTTCCTTGCATGGGGGCAGTGATACAGCCTTAGCTGCTGGGGGTGAGTAAAAAAACAACCACCYCCGTCCAAGCTGGAGAGAAAACCGTGGCAAAGGTGGGCTTGGAAAGAATAAAAGRGACTCAGGTATCAAGGCGATGCCCCGGGGACGGGTGGGGAGCAGTAACCCAACCCGCCACAGCCAGCGATCAGSGCTGGTGGATCAAGTTGTGATACAAAGATGGTTACAAAAAACCTGAATAAACAGAGGGAGTCACCTTACGCCGGCCCCAGCTCGGGGGTTTGAGTACACAGCTGCGAGCCCGGCACTCCCTGGAGCCGTCACGGCTCACCGGCACGGCCCCGGAAAGAGATGTCAAAAAAAACAGTGTCACCAGGGCGGGAGCAGCCCCGGACCCCCCGAACCCCGCGGTTGGGAGGGGAACACGCTGAGGCACACTCGGCTCCTTCCCCAAAGCCTCCRGGGCTGTCSGTGGCTGAGCTGGCACCGGGCACTGCCACGTCTGCCCTGGCACTGCCACCTCCGCCCAGTGCCARCCTGGAGGTTCACGGGGACAGTGACCTGGGGACAGTGGCCTCAGAGCGAGTGACCGGTGTCGGACAAGTTGTGGGTACCCTCTGAGTCGGGGTGTCATCCCAGAGAGCAGGGCCASGATGAGAAGGAACCCCAGGAAAGGTCATTCCCGGGGAATCACAGCAATCTATAACCCCGGGGCGATGCGTTTGGCAGCTCCGGGGACACCGGAGCACAGACACATTGGCGGCTTCTCTTTTCCACGTCCCATTTCCAGGCAGGGAAGGCGCCTGGAAGGGCAACTTGTTCTCTGCCGGGGGATTTCTGACCTATTCCTGTCATTTACCCCTTGGCAGCAGGACACGGCAGCGACCTGCAGAGCAAAGTCGCCGCGGGACAGCCGGGGGCTGTCGGGGACAGTCCTGTCCCGCAGGGTCACGGCTCCAGTCCACCCCCGGCACCCCGAGGGACCCCAGCCCGGCTCCCCAGCCCCGGTGACCGGCAGCRCCGTGACCTCGACGGGGTAAACATTAATTATAAGGTTCATTATCCCGGTGCGGGGCTCGGTTCTGACACCGCCGCCGGGGCCGCGGAGCTGGGGACGGGCTGTCCCGGGAGGCGCCGCCGCCGCCGCTCCCCGCCCGCACTGACAGCCCGGGGGGCTCCTGCCCGGCCCGACCGCCCCACGGCCCGCCCGGCCCCGGGCCCGCACTCACGGGAACGGCTCCTCGGGGCCCGCGCCGCCCCGCAGCACCACCATGGCCCGCCGGGACTGGGATCGGGATCGGGACCGGGACGGGGACCAGAACCAGGACCGGGACCTCCCTCCGCCTCCTCCGCCCCGGGCCCGCACCGGCGGCACCGGGCCCGGCACCGCCCGCGGGAAGTGACGTCACAGGGGCGGGGGAACGGGAGCCCCGCCCCGGGCGCCGCGGGAGGTGGGGCACGGAGGGTACTTCGGGGAGCCCGAGGAACCGTGGCTCGGCGGCTGTCGGACCCCATTAACCTGGCGTTAATGCTCGTTAACCCTCCGTTAACCCCGTGAGCCCTCAGTTAACCCCCGTTAAAGCGCCGTTAACGYCCGTGAACCCCCGTTAAACCCCCGTTAACCCCGCGCCCTCCACGGCGCCGTTCCCCCGCCCGCCCGCGAGGCGGCGCTGCGCCCGCGCCCCCGCCCGGCCCCGCGGCCCCGCCGCGCGCTA